TGTGAGACAAAAGAATGTGAAGCACTAGTATTAGTCAAAACATGTGCAAGGTAATTACAAACAGTGTACGTAACCTATATCACGTTCGAGTTAGCTTCAGCATTATTAGATGATTGTGTAAGCTCTAGCCTAGATGAGAGGTCTACCTTGATTTTGATTTCACGGGCACTCTCTCGCATAGTGCTTAACACTTCCACAAATGCGGCAGATATTGTTGAGGTAGTAGCAGGGTCGGTCTCCATGATCCTTGCCACAGTGCTGGCAAATCCTATCATGTCTTGTTGCTGGAGCCTGAGTAGGAGCTTGAGTCACAAGCCTAGGTCTCTTGTTCTACTGAGTCGGTACAATAGGTGTTGTTATACGGTGTGGGACTAGGGGTCTGAAATTTTTAACTGCTGGAGAAAAAATGCGAAGATTCCACTCTATTAGCTATGCCTTGGCCAGAACTGCTGAGTAGGTGCTGAGCTCGAATACATAGAGTTGTTGTCTGATCTTAGGATGAAGGTCCCACTCAAACTTTTTTTTCTTTCTGCCTTCATCCATCATACTCTAAGGAGAATACCAACACAACTCTAGGAACTTCTGGACATACTTAGACACTATTATCTCACCTTGGACTAGGTGTTCAAACTCTATTTCCTTTAATTTCCAAAAATGCTCTAGTAGGTACTTTACATTGAAAGCTATCAAGGACTGTTCCCAAGTGACTGGAATAGGCAAGGTAGTCTATTTCAGTTGCCACCAGCGGCCTGCCTCACCCACGAGCATGTAGATGACAAGTGCAATCTTCTATTCAAGAACCACCCCAAGAGTTACGAAAGTCTTCTCTGTCTCAGCTAACCAATACTCGACCTCTTTGAAGGAGGATGTCACTGTAAAAGTAGATGAGTTTCATCTCTTATACCTCTCAGTGTAACCTAGGTCCATCATGGGTGGAATTGGGTCCCGTTGAAGAGGGACTGTGTTATGAGGGTGGGGGCACCAGATTGTAATGCAGCGGTGCTGGATGATATGGTGAAAGAGCAAGATTATATCGGGATGGCACTGGATCTTCTTGTTACAGGGGTGGCTCATACAATGGCAGTAGGGGAGGGTCAGACAGCTCCCTCATCTCTTCCTAGGCTGTTGGGAGGAGATAAGTCTCTCCAACACCTCAAAGAGTCGATCGACATCCCTTTGAGGCGACCTATCGCGGGCTACTAAGTTTAGTGGGGGTCTTCCTCTCCTAATATCCTTGTACTTGCATTTCACAAGAAAAGATTAAGTGTCGGGTTGTATTTTAGTGTTTTAAATATCTGTGTAAGGAATATTTTTAAGGAATGCAACTCTGATACCAACTGTAAAAGCCCAAAGCTTAAGGTAATGAAAATATTGAATTATATCAATTTTAAGCGACAACAATTTAGAATTTATGATTTTTATTTCTTACACAGTAAATCATGATGCCTAATAGGGATACAGAAATGTCCTTTTATAGTAGCAGTTCATAGTGATGGGATAGATAGTTCAAACAAAACGAAATAAAAATCCTATAGGTTAACCTCCGCTGGGCAACTCTGATGAGGTCTAGGGGGTAACTTACCCTCCTACTGTTCAGGATATGGATCTGGATCTTCTTGATATTAAATTATTAAATAGGAGAATGAGCTACACTAACCCAGTAAGAATATCACACTTATTATCGATTACGAAAAACCAAAAGTTGGTAAAAAAAATTCATAAAACAACCAATGAAACCATTTTTTTTTCTTAAATAAATTCATTTAACATAAAAGTCTTACTTTATACTTACCCTTATGAGTTTTTAAAACTGACCTATGAGGATAATAATTCGAATATCATTTATGTTACACATTTACATGAATAATAAATAGTAAACTTACCTCCTTACATGCCTACCAATATCCTTGGGGGTCCATAGGGATGCCCCCTTTACGCGTGAACCCAATATCCAATTTGTTAATTGACTGGCTGTCCCTATAACCCATCCGATAATGGGCATAAAACATACTACTGCCTCAATACTCCGTCCAGTAAGAGGATGAGCTATACCTCCTAACCCTTTCCGATATGAGACTTTTCAGTCCCGTTCGACTGAGGTAATGTCCACGGTAGGGTTCTCCCTATGTACCGGTTCCCTTCACCATTTCCTAAGGTACCCAGTAAGCCTTTCATACTTGGGTTCGCATCATCAACCAATCACCAATTACATACCAACATCTCATTTCATAATTGTAAATCAATAGAACATAATTTAAGCAGACAATAAAAAATTATACTTTAACAAATAAGAAACGTAATTAGGGTATTTTTTTCAAAATAGATAACAAATGAAAATAACGATTTGGTAATCAATAAAAGAGAAGCAACTAAATCTATGAATTAAAGTATATGCGGTAAGCAACAATAACAATCTAGCAACTAATGAACAGTATAGATAAAGTAAACAATTTCGTACTTATCAATTTCGGCTCCACTAGTGAGTGTAATTTTTACAAAACACAACATTATTGATTATTGAGTTTCAATCTACCATAATAAGAAAAAGAATGAGGGATTTGTACCCTAGATTGGTATTTGAAACACTGTACTTTTCACTATGCCTCCTAACGGTTCTCAGATTTTTTAGATTTTTCATGCAGAAATTAAAATACCCGTCACATAT